CAATCACATCCGAGCCCCCCTACGAAATCAGAGAGCCCCTTCACGTCAAAGTCCACCTACCAAATCAGAGAGCCCCAGTACATCTAAGGCCCCCCTATATATCAGAAACCCCCTATGCATGAGACCTCCCATCACATTGGGCCCCTATACATGAGTACCCCCATTAATGTCGGAGTCCCCCCACCAAATCAGAGATCCCCTATACATCTAAAGCCCCCTATACATCAGAGCCTTCACATCACATCAGTCTCTCAATCACATCAAAATACTCCCATCACCACAGAGCTCCCCCAATGACAGAGCTCTCTCTATCACACAACCCCCCCAATCACACAGTTTCCTTTTAAACTCAGAGCCCTACACAATGTGGACCCAGCAGTGCAGCAGAGGGTGGGAAGTGGAGGCAGTCTGAAGGAGGTGGACTTCTGTCATCAGAAACCCCTTATACATGAGATCTCCCATCACATTGGGCCCCTATACATGAGTACCCCCATTAATGTTGGAGTCCCCCCACCAAAACAGAGATCCCCTATACATCAAGGGCCCCCCTATACATCAGAGCCTCCGCATCACATCAGAGTCTCTCCATCACATCGAAATACTTCCATCACCACAGAGCTCCCCCAACGACAGAGCTCTCTCTATCACACAGCCCCCCCCCCCCCCCCCCAAATCACGTAGTTACCTTTTCAACTCAGACCCCTACACAATTTGGCCCCAGCAGAGGGTGGGAAGTGGAGGAGGTGGACTTCTGTCATCACATCACAGGTCACCCATCACATCAGAGGTCACCCATCATGTCAGGTTTCCCCAATCACATCAGAGCCCCCCTTCACATCAAAGTCCCTCTAACAAATCAGAGAGCCCCAGTACATCTAAGGTCCCCCTATCTATCAGAAACCCCTTATACATGAGACCTCCCATCATATTGGGCCCCTATACATGAATACCCCCATTAATGTTGGATTCCCTTTACCAAATCAGAGATCTCCTATACATCTAAGGCCCATCTATACATCAGAGCCTCCGCATCACATCAGAGTCTCCCCATCACATCAAACAATACTCCCTTCACCACAAAGCTCCCCCAATGACAGAGTTCTCCCTATCACACAGCCCCCCCAGTCACACAGTCCCATTTTTCAACTCAGAGCCCTACACAATTTGGCCCCAGCAGTGCAGCAGAGGGTGGAAAGTGGAGGCAGTCTGAAGGAGGTGGACTTCTGTCATCACATCACAGGTCACCCATCACATCAGAGGTCACCCATTATGTCAGGTTCCCCCAATCACATCAGAGCCCCCCTTCACGTAAAAGTCCCCCTACCAAATCAGAGAGCCCCAGTACATCTAAGGTCCCCTATCAGAAACCCCTTATACATGAGATCTCCCATCACATTGGGCCCCTATACATGAGTACCCCCATTAATGTTGGAGTCCCCTCACCAAATCAGAGATGCCCTATACATCAAAGGGCCCCCTATACATCAGAGCCTCCGCATCACATCAGAGTCTCCCCATCACATCAAAATACCCCCTTCACCACAGAGATCCCCCAATGACAGAGCTCTCTCTATCACACAGCCCCCTCAATCACACAGTCCCCTTTTCCACTCAGAGCCCTACACAATTTGGCCCCAGCAGTGCAGCAGAGGGTGGGAAGTGGAGGAGGTCTGAAGGAGGTGGACTTCTGTCTTCTCCTGAATGCTAGGGGTGGCCCTGCATGCCGCCTGCCCCAGCCATCATCACCATAGCAAAAGATAGAGCAAGGACGCTGGAGTTAGTAAAACAGTATGCAAAACAAGTTTATTAAAATAGTCGAAGTATCTGTTAAAAACTTGATCTTCGGCAAGTAGGAACCAACACTGGCACCACTAACATGATGGAGTGCATGATCAAGCTATTTGATAACGGGGGTAGAGCCCCAGGAAACATTTATCGGCCCTTCCGATTGCCAACATCACCGGTCCTAGTTGAAAGGTGCTTCCTGACATTCCCAACATCACTTTTGGACCTTAATAGCTGCTATTTCTCCCATGTAGTGTAGGACGCCACTGCTTTGCCTGCCAACTCCTAGAGTATGGTGTTCCCTATGTTCTTGCCTGTTGCATGTCCTGCTTGGCTTCCTGTGGCTGTTACACTCCATCATGTTTGCAGTGCCAGTGCGGGTTCCTACTTGCTGAACACGTTTTAACATGTAAGTGTGCTATTTTAATAAACTTGTTGTACATATGGTTTTACTAACTCTAGTGTACTTGCTCTGCCTTTTGCATACTGCCTTTGGAGACCCTTCTCAGATCTTAACTGACCCTAGGTTCACATCTGTGCGGGTGGTGCCGCTGTGGATCCGCACAAAAAGCCGTGCAACTGCACCGCCTGCACAGAGAATTGCGGACCTGTGGGCGGGTGCCATTAGTTCTAATGGCACGCTGCTCGCACTGGGAAACGCAACCATACTGGGAATAACATACAATTTTGAGGACAAGCTTTCGGGGAATGTCCCCTTCTTCAAGGTCTAAGCAGTACTACTCACAAAGTTAGCAGAATGTTAGAAGAGATGAAAAAAAAAAAAAAAGGAGGCTAGAGATAAGATGCAGTCAAAGCGAGGGGGGAGGGGGGGATACTACACTCACACAGAGGGAATCAAGCTACAGCTAATAGTCATAAAAATGTCGGATAATGATTGAGGAATCCCATGTCCAAATTAAGGCCCTTATCTCTTGTGTCAAATAGAATTATCATTCTTAGTTCAAAAGTTTTTCTTTCCTGAATGGATTTGAAATTTCCTTTAAGTACTAAAACATTGAGGTCTCCCATTGTGTGGCCTGGTTGTGCGAAATGGTGTCCCACAGGTGTGCAGAGGTCATCTTCTTTATGTTCCTTGATGGTATGTCTGTGCAAATTCATCCTTGTTTGCAACTTCTGTCCTGTTTCGCCAACATAAGATCCATAAGATCTTATCCAGTGCAGAAAATGCAGCAAAGGATCTTATGTTGGTGAAACAGGACAGAAGTTGCAAACAAGGATGAATTTGCACAGACATACCATCAAGGAACATAAAGAATGACCTGTGCACACCTGTAGGACACCATTTCGCACAACCAGGCCACACAATGGGAGACCTCAATGTTTTAATACTTAAAGGAAATTTCAAATCCATTCAGGAAAGAAAAACTTTTGAACTAAGAATGATAATTCTATTTTGACACAAGAGATAACGGCCTGAATTTGGACATGGGATTTCTCAATCATTATCTGACATTTTTATGACTATTAGCTGTAGCTTGACTCCCTCTGTGTGAGTGTAGTATCCCCCCCCCTCCCCCCTCGCTTTGACTGCACTTTATCTCTAGCCTCCTTTTTTTTTTTTTTTTCATCTCTTCTCTTCTAACATTCTGCTAACTTTGTGAGTAGTACTGCTTAGACCTTGAAGAAGGGGACATTCCCTGAAAGCTTGTCCTCAGAATTGTATGTTAGTGCAAATAAAAAAAGTATCACGGACAGTACTGAATTATTTCTGTCGCAAATGCACTAATACGGCTACAATCAACTCGTACTATACAGTAAAATATATAGAGTGGTGGCTGCTAGATAAGATATAAATAAGTGGGAGACAAGTTCCGGAACTTGTTGGCTGCTGTAGATATTATATGCTCCTTAATAGTAAACCCACAATCTATATTTAGAAAGATCATTGCAGGGACTCACATCTAGGAACCATCAGCCATGGGCTCAATGTGTTGGCCAAAGTTTCTATGCCAGTAATAGGCTTGGTTAACACCAATGCATTGTGCTTTTTTGTCCTGTTTGCAGTTCTTTTTACATTGCATTTTTGAATGCACGTTTTTTGCCACGTTTTTTTTTATCATGTTTTGCGTTTTTTTCAGCTTTTTCTTTATTGAAGTGGAAAGTTTTAGGTTGCTGGGCAGAATAAAAACGCCAAACGCGGTAAAAAAAAGTGGCAAAAACACACTACATGCATTTTAGCAGCTTCTCCATTGAACTCTATTGTAGTAAAAATGCTGCTTTTTGTGTTTTAAAAAGTCCCTGACCATTTAAAAAACACAGCCCAAAAAAAAGCATACATGTGAACATTTCCTATAGAAAACCATGTTAGATTGGTTAGAAAACCATGTAGTGCGTTTCTGCAAAAAAGCACAAAAAAAAAATGCATCGGTGTGAACAAGGCCGTAATAAACTTCGAAATTCTGGATTTTAAATTGTAAACCATGTGACCCCTCCCCTTTACTCTCTATTATGTAACGTGGCTGAAATCTATACAGTCATTGTGCACATGCATAGAAACCGTTAATGACACCCATCAGAAATGTTGGCTGCCTTTGGTAAACTTCATCTTGAACTGCTGGTTGCCTATTGCAACCACTCCACTATAAGCCTTCCCTTTCCACCAACCGAAGGATGCAAGCTCCAGAATGGTCCACGATCTACCAACCAGGGGCGGACTGACCATTTGGAAACTCGGGCACTGCCCGAGGGCCCGGGGTCAGTAGGGGGCCCCATGAGATGCCCCTGGTACCTTTTTCACAGGCTTTTTTGAGTTTGGGCAAGGACACAGGGGCCCCATGATCCCCTATTGCCCGGGGGCCCCATGAGTTGTCAGTCCGCCCCTGCTACCAGCATCAATAGAAAATATACAAAGAAGGAGCTGCCCAACTTTCAAAAGTCCAAAATATGTTCATTGAGGTCAACCAATGCATTGAAAGTCCACCTGCTCTTCTTATGCTCTTCATTCCATCACGAGCTTAGTCATTAGGAGTCGTAGACTCTGTTACACAGTTGGCTCAAATGTCAAGCCAACATTTTTAGTCTTTAAAGCAACCAATCAGAATAAACCTTTCACTAATCTGACAAGTAAACTGAAATTGGTTGCTTTACGTTACTGAGCTTCCTTCTATGTTTTTTCATGTTTTTTTCGGATCTGGCTCTTTTATTAGTAAGTACTCTTTATCTGAAAACGTCTCTATTTTGTGTCCATTTTATAGTTCCACTCTCATCTCCAAGAGGTAGAAATCGGTTGCCGAAACTCTTCCAGGAAGATATTTCTTTCCTACATCAATATGATTCAAGATTAACACCCAATGAACCCATTCGAGGCAAGGTGAGTCTGTGCAGAGGTCTTCTAGTACAATGATCCTTAGCCCTTTGGTCTTCCATTGTAGCAATTAGACATATGCGGTTAGTTTCGTTCCAAATTAAAATTCGGACAAGATTTCCGTTATTTGGAGACCAGTCCAAATTACAATAGTAATGAATTTAAATTAATCCGAAATAACGAAATGAAATTTCATGCAAAATAACGAATTATGTGAATTCGAATCAAATTAAAAATAAATTTGAAAACAAATTCAAAATGTAAACATTTTGCTGACTAATGCTGATTTCCTTCAAAAACCATGTGTATTAAGCAGGCCACAGACATGTCGAAAAACTAACGAAATTCATGTTGACTGTCAAATCATTCGTTTGTCACCTCAATAATTTGCCAGCTGGGACACCTGATTTTCATGCCACAAATGAAAGTGCCTGATCTAACATGCTGGGTTCTTTTTAGAAAATGTAAAAATCGATGGCACAGTCGTATGATCTATGTTCGTTTTTCGATCGACAGAACTTTTCTTTTTTGACTCATCTATGGCCTGTATTAATGTTGGAATATAGCTGTCTTCCGAAATTGGAATTTAGAAAAGAATAGAATAAAACAGAATAGAATAGAAAATAAAAGAGTAGAATAGAATAGAAAATAAAAGAGTAGAATAGAATATAAAGGAATATAATAGAATAGAAAATAAAAGAATAGAACAGAACAGAAAAAAAAAGAATAGACTAGACTGAATATAGCCGTCTTTTGAAATTTGAATTTCGAATAGAACCAGTTGTTCTTTACAATGAATTCTGATTGATTCAATATTTTCAATGCAAATTCCATTAGAATACTTCAAATCCATTGGAAAAATGTGAATCCGGTCAAATACGAATAAACAAAACAAAAAATGCAACAAAACCAAATTAGTAATTTAACAAATCGATCCAAAACTAAACAAACGTTCTGCACATGTCTAGCAGTAATGTGCTAATAGGTTTTTTGTTTTGCTTTTTATTAATGGGAGATTTTATTGTGTATAAATTGTATAAATCCACCTAACCACAGTTTATAGCCCCTGGAACACCGTGGGAGTTTAAGCACAGCTTTACAATGGAATACCATGGGATCCGTCAGCCCCATGTTGACTTTAGCAGTAGAAGTTCTTGCATTAAAACTGTGTTTGTACAGCAAGAGTGCCTTCACTGAAAATATAGGAGCTCTGGCTGTTTTATAGGGAAGTCAACTTTACATGACTTGCACGAGGTCAAACTCTACCCTTCAGGCACCATAAAATGAAGGTTTGCGAAATATGTGCAGCACCGGCACAGTAAAGTGTCTAATTAGTTCTTGATGGACCTTTGATACTGGGCAAATTGTAGCCACTGGGTTGCCATAGTATTAGGACTCTTGTACATGGAGCCGTTGAGCGCCTTAGTGCGCCCAGGGGAGCATCCTTTCCCGCTGTAGACAGCCTATACACATCGAATGCTAGCTATTAGTTCCAATCTAGGCTTCAGCAGGACAAGGCTGAAGGATGTACTGAGTGGTACTGGCATCTAGGACTCCATTCAGAGACAAGGTTCCAGGATGCACATATTGCATCGTTCCACGTAGGGCCACCCATTCAATACATCGGGAATTCCATTGAAGTGATTATATTTTAAAAAAAAATTTTGGATCACTTTTTTGCTGTCACAAGGAATGTAAACATCCCTTGTGATAGCAATATATAGTGACAGTTACTCTTTATGAAGAGATCGGGGTTCTAATAGACCACCGGTCTCTTCTCTGCCCTAAAAGCATCTGATCACACCAAGATTGATGTGTTCAGATGCTTTCCCATTTCAATAATGGCGCTGTTTACTTCCAGGAAACCGGAAGTGAGGAAAACTCTTGTTGCTTCCCATTTCCTATATCCTAGAGATCATTGGGGACCTTCCAGTCCTCGGGGATCTCTGTGGTATGCTTACCAAAGCCATGTCATTCGTGAGATGGCAGAGCCCGGAGAGGCACCGGCGGGCAGTGGGAGGGGGCTAATCCCTCCTGCCCCACCACATATAAAAGCCATCCAGTGGCTAGTTAGCCATTAGAATGACTTTTCCATAAAAGCTGGTCGCCAGCTTAAAAAAAAAATGATACTAGAATGATGCCTGTAGCTACAATCACTTAAAGCCAACTAACATTCATATAGTAATAGAGAGCTTTGATCATGATTATTATCTGTATTTCTGATATCAGGAGGAGAGCAGTGACCAGGGGCGGACTGACCATATGGAAAATCGGGCACTGCCCGAGGGCCCGGGGTCAGTAGGGGGCCCCATGAGATGCCCCTGGTACCTTTTTCATAGGCTTTTTTGAGTTTGGGCAAGGACACAGGGGCCCCATGATCCCCAATTGCCCGGGGGCCCCATGAGTTGTCAGTCCGCCCCTGGCAGTGACTGTGTTTTAACTATTACCAACCAGTGACCTCCCCCTGGGGTAGCATTACATTGGCAAGATGCAATGCCTTGGTGAACAGGTTTTCAGAATTTCCCGCACAAACATTCAAGCAAAATTACACTGGTGTATGGTCGGCTTTACCTATCTAGAAATGAGCAGTTACCCAATCTACGTTACTGTGGGAAGTGGTCTCAACATCCACCCAACTCAAGTCCAATATAAATAGGCCTCCAAATCCCAGAGGGCCCTAGTGCAGCTGCACAGTCTTCACAAATGGTATGTCCGTCCCTGCCTGAGAATGTAGACTGTACTAGAGTGAATAAACATATTCTATAGATCAGCCTATCGCAGTTTAGTTCCAAGTTCAGACTTTCTCCAATTTAGTGGCAGAATTAGATAGACAGATCGTTATATCACCACTTCCAGCTCTCAGACCTCGGCCTAGCAGTGGCCAGCAGCAAGGCACACAAACAGTTGGATATCTTCCAGCCCCCAGCTGCACTGTCTACATGCCTGTTTCCTCCTGGCTAATATCAACTCTGTTTCCTTTTTTCAGCGTCATGGAGGCTTTGTATGGAGAGAGATAAAAACAGAGTGTGGTCCAGGCATTCCTCTGGGAACAAGGCCGGTCTTACATGCCATAGGGTCACATGCACTCCAACAGCCACAAACAGAAAGAGGAAATTCGATGGAAAGCAGTATGACCTCACCCAGTCCCTGCCTGCTTGGTTCCCAGCAGATGTTGAATTCTGAAGCTCACTTATCAAAAACAGAACTGAGGGAGGCAGCCAAGACCAATCCCAACATGACAGCTAGAGAACAGAACAGCTCAAGCAGTTCTCAGACATCCAGGAGAATGGTGCTCTCTCCCATTGGTGGATTAGTGTCCAACCAGCCAAGTGTGAACCCCAAGTGAGCAGGCCAGGGAGTTTCAATGCTGCTCTTCCAGACGCTTTCCGATTATTTCCAACGTATAACCTCAACTCTTCTGTCGACTGCTGACAGTAAATATCATCTGGTGCCAAAGAATTGGAATAGAATTACGTAATTGCTGATACTTTCATTTAATTTTTTGAACCTACATTTGTAATTAAAAAATGAATGTTAAAAGGGAACGAGAAATTTAAAATAGGATGAACAAAACACATTGCTACAATAAAAATCTTTGAAGTGACATATGATATATCAGCTGAATAAGACGCATTGATTGGTTAATGATCTTTTACCTTTAAACTTTCATATATTGGTAAATGAAACATAGCAGGATGACTACAGCTCCTATTACCAAATTTTCATCTTGAAGGGCAAACTACAAGGCTGTCACCCTTATTATTGTTATTATTATTATTATTATATAATACAGAATTTATTTAGCTCCAGCAGTTTGCTCAGCGCTTTACAATATAGAGGGAGACAATACAGCAATGATACAGTTCAATACAAGAGGGTTAGGAGGGCCTGATCCTTGGAACTTACAATCTAAGAGCCCTTATACTTGCTCTTGCATCCTTATCCTTGCATCCTCATCCCTCCTGTTGCATCCTTATCCTTGCATCGTCATCCCTCCTGTTGCATCCTTATCCTTGCATCCTCATCACTCTTGTTGCATCCTTATCCTTGCATCCTCATCCCTCTTGTTGCAATCCTTATCCTTGCATCCTCATCCCTCCTTGTTGAATCCTTATCCTTGCATCCTCATCCCTCCTGTGGCATCCTTATCCTTGCATCCTCATCCCTACTGTTGCATCCTCATCCCTCTTGTTGCATCCTCATCCCTCCTGTTGCATCCTCATCCTCATCCCTCTTGTTGAATCCTTATCCTTGCATCCTCATCCCTCTTGTTGCATCCTTATCCTTGCATCCTCATCCCTCTTGTTGCATCCTCATCCCTCTTGTTGAATCCGTATGCTTGCATCCTCATCCCTCCTGTTGCATCCTTATCCTTGCATCCTCATCCCTCTTGTTGCACCTTATCCTTATCCTTGCATCCTCATCCTCATCCCTCCTGTTGCATTCTTATCCTTGCATCCTCATCCCTCTTGTGGCATCCTTATCCCTCTTGTTGCATCCTCATCCATCTTGTTGAATCCTTATCCTTGCATCCTCATCCCTCCTGTTGCATCCTTATCCTTGCATCCTCATCCCTCTTGTTGAATCCTTATCCTTGCATCCTCATCCCTCCTGTGGCATCCTTATCCTTGCATCCTCATCCCTCCTGTTGCATCCTCATCCCTCTTGTTGCATCCTCATCCCTCTTGTTGAATCCTTATCCTTGCATCCTCATCCCTCCTGTGGCATCCTTATCCTTGCATCCTCATCCCTCTTGTTGCATCCTCATCCCTCTTGTTGAATCCTTATCCTTGCATCCTCATCCCTCTTGTTGCATCCTTATCCTTGCATCCTCATCCCTCTTGTTGCATCCTCATCCCTCTTGTTGAATCCTTATCCTTGCATCCTCATCCCTCCTGTTGCATCCTAATCCTTGAATCCTCATCCCTCCTGTTGCATCCTTATCCTTGCATCCTCATCCCTCTTGTTGAATCCTTATCCTTGCATCCTCATCCCTCCTGTTGCATCCTCATCCCTCTTGTTGAATCCTTATCCTTGCATCCTCATCCCTCCTGTTGCTTCCTCATCCCTCTTGTTGAATCCTTATCCTTGCATCCTCATCCCTCCTGTTGCATCCTTATCCCTCCTGTTGCATCCTCATCCCTCCTGTTGCATCCTTATCCCTCCTGTTGCATCCTCATCCCTCCTGTGGCATCCTTATCCTTGCATCCTCATCCCTCCTGTTGCATCCTTATCCTTACTCTATTTTGCATATTTGTTCCAGGTCAGTAACTCAGTAAGCAGTAAACCAAGGATAAAGATGACAGCCCAGGAAGTTGTATCTTGCTGTCCTCCTTCTGAAAATGCTAATTCCTAGCAGTCATGCCGAAGTATATCTAAAGCCAAACTTTTTTAAAATTTTGGGTAGGGCAGGGTACAGTCAAAACCCATGAACCTGCTGTATTTTGCATGTTAATGTGTTGCGTTAGGTTAGCATATTTATTTTGTGAATGGTCTGCCAACATGCTACAATGGACATTTTAATTCACCAGTCTTTCTTTCATTTTTTTAAGTATTGCATTTAGTTCACATCTGAGCATTGTAGTGCATTAGCAAGTTGCATTGGGGTGCCATTAAAAATGTGCACCGCAGTCTGAGTAAAGTGCAGGGGCGGACTGACCATTTGGAAACTCGGGAACTGCCCGAGGGCCCGGGGCCCCATGAGTTGTCAGTCCGCCCCTGGTAAAGTGTTAATACCCAGTCACACCGGTACAATTTCAGGTGCGATTTTGCAAATTAAAACCGCACCTGAAATCGCATTTAATGAATGTGAATGTCTTAACGTCTTAACACGTGCAGATTGCTGCAGCGTAATTTCTCAAGTAGTTCTTGCATTACTTTTTCTGCAGTTTTGTTGCGATTTCACATACATAGAATATAATGGAAATAACACTGCAAATTGCAAAAAATCCTTGAAAATCTTCACAAGTAGCAATAAAGGCTTCAGAAATTGCACCTGAAATCGAGCTGCAATTGCACACAAATCGCACAATTTTAAATTGCAGCGGTGTGATCGGCGACTAAGTGTTTGTTGCGATAAAGCACTGTTAGGGTCCATGCACACTGGAAATGAAAAATACTGCTTATACAGACGGTTTGAGGTTTTTTTCTTCAGCCTGTCGAAGTAGCTGTATGTTAGCCTATGGGTCTGTGAACATTAGCAAGGTTACAAGCATGTTTTCAGAGGAGCATTTTGGGCAGAAAAAAGCTCATAAACACGCATAAGAAAAGGCCTAAAGGCAGCATTTAGGAGCGTTCTGTGTTTTCAAGTGTGTACTGAAAAATGAGCAGAGGGGAATGTTTGGGGAAAAAAAGCTTATAAAAGCAAATGCCAATAAGCTCTCCTCAACTCTTATGCAATACGAGCCACTATGAGCATTTCTTCTGCTGCTTTTTTTCTGCCAAAGGTTCTGGCATTTCTTTTCTGCCCCTAGGGTGCATGGGCCCTTAAAAACTGCAGGTCTTGTTGACCTTTAGTTTTCACAATGTGAAACAGCTCTCGGGGTCTGTCATAAGCAGGGGCGGACTGACAACTCATGGGGCCCCTGGGCAATAGGGGATCATGGGGCCCCTGTGTCCTGGCCCACACTCAAACCACACCCAAAAAAGCCTGTGAAAGGTACCAGGGACATCTCATGGGGCCCCCTACTGACCCCGGGCCCTCGGGCAGTGCCCGAGTTCCCCAATGGTCAGTCCGCCCCTGGTCATAAGGATATACTGTGTATATATATACTGTGTATATATATACACACACACACACACACCATAGTTTGTAGACTGTATAACTTTCACACAAACCAATTAATTTACACATATTAGTATTTTTTTTTTATACCACAGACATGTATCAGAATACAATTTGGCCAAAATTTATGAAGAAATGTTTACATTTTCATTCTTTTTTCCTTGATAGCACAAAAGATTAAAAAGAAACCCAGTGGTGATCAAATACCACCAAAGGAAAGCTCTTTTTGTGTGAAAAAAAAATTATATAAATTTCATTTGTGTGCAGTGTTGCATGACCGCACAATTCTGAGTTAAAGTAGCGCAGCGCCGGATAGCAAGAATGGGCTGGTTATAAAGGGGGGTCAAGTGGTTAAAAAACATATTGTAAGGCATTTCCGCAGTGAACAACTGTGAATCCAGTTACAAAGTAAACTTGTCTACCCTAAAAAAAAAAAAATGGCTAAGGGCCGGTTCATGCTGTCCCTTGATCTGAATCGCACAGGAACCCTCTGTGCGTTGCTGTGCGATTAATATGCGGGTCTGTGCGGTGCGATTTCAAGCCCATTCATTTGAATTGGTTGAAATCGCAATGCACAACGCTAAAAGTAGTGTATGTACTACTTTTTTTAAACACACGGGAGCCGCATCACATGGTTCTTTGTATCATGCGGTTTAGTGCGGGCCAGTGCAGGCAAACGCAGTGCGTTTGCGACCTGCGTTCGGGGTGTCGTTAACATTAACTGACCCCCCGCAGCAGATTGCATGGCATTGCCATTGGAATGCGGTGCGGGAAGCCACATGGGACAGCGGCTCTCCCGCACCGCATTCTAGTGTGAACGAGCCCTAAAGTATAAATAGTGCAGGTACACGTTGGTGCCCGGCTGCGAGTATCTGTGTTGAAGAAAGTGGAAGCTAACACATACAGTATGTAGCATAAAAAAAATTAAAATTTTTATTTTGATCATATTAAAATCTCATCACAGGAAACTCTTCAAAAGTGCCAGAGATTCACAACGACAGTTATATTGTACAATGTGTCACATATACTTTGTCTGATCCAACATGTTTCTTAGAGAAAAGTCTACTTTTTCTTTTGCAATGAATTTTATTATAGACAGCACAGCAACAAAGAAACAGTCAAAAGCAAGATAATTGACACAAAAGAATAAGGTGTACAATTCTTCTGATGAGGGACATAACAAATACACCGAAGTATTAACACAGAGAGAAACGGAATACATAACAACAATATATGAAAGGATGGAATGAAACCTTATAAAATTGCATTAACAGCAAACAAGTAGTGACCAATGAGCTAGTAGACAAAAGCCAAGGATAGTCACCAAAATCGCATACAGATGGTAGGAAAAACTGAGCATGGAGTCTCACTGGATGCACATCGGAACTCTACACCAAGGACTCTCGAGAAAGTATATAAAAACATTACAGGCACCATTGTCTTGGAGTATCACAATCAGCGCAAGTAACATGAAGACCAGGGGCGGACTGACAACTCATGGGGCCCCCGGGCAATAGGGGATCATGGGGCCCCTGTGGCCTTGCCCAAACTCAAAAAAGCCT